ACAGAGGGGCAGGGTGCAATGAAACATCACACAAACACCCACAGGTTCATTACACTACAGAGGGGCAGGGTGCAATGAAACATCACACAAACACCCACAGGTTCATTACACTACAGAGGGGCAGGGTGCAATGAAACATCACACAAACACCAACAGGTTCATTACACTACAGAGGGGCAGGGTGCAATGACACACCACACAAAAACAGACAGCTTCACCACAGATGGGCAGGGTGCAATGAAACCTCACAGAAACACCAAGAGAGGAGCAGTATGCACTGAAACATCACACCAATACTAACATGCACCATGCCGGGGGCTTCTTTGTCTACAGATCCCCAAATATACATAAATCATCATTTCACCTCTACCTCACCTTCAGGTCCTGAACCTGCTGTATCTTCTAATAGTTAACTGTAAAGTTGAGCTAGTATGACTTCTGCCGTCTCCTCAGCACAGACAGTTCAAATACAGCTCACATATCTTCTCGCCAGTTAACTCCCAGAATCACCAGATCCCATATATGAGCCACTGAACCTGGCAGCTTCAGTCAGAACCAAGAGCCCGGTTTGCAAAAAAAAAACATGTCAAATGGGGCATTTTACATTTTAAAAAATCCTAGGAGAGTTGGAACTGGAGAGGAAAAGCTGTGTTAGTCTGTTGGGCTCATTAGGAAGCATCTCAACCACTGGGGGAAATTGGACACAGCACTGTTTTAACACTTCGCTGGGGCAGAGGAATAGTCAGTCTGCATTATAAATCCTATTTAACATTTACATTTTCCACTTTAATGAATATTTTTTATGATGTGTCTGCCTTGAGTCTGGAGTCAGTGAATGGAAGACGAGTTAAGGTTGTCATAGTTAGCATTAGCATTTTTCCATAGGAATGAATGAGCGGTCCCCATACAGATATGTTTACCCGACGTGTGCGTGTGTGTGTGTGTTTGGACCAAATGTCCCTTTGATGTGCTAAAAATCTGTTATTTTGACGTTGTGGGGACCATAGTTTCTGTCCCTACAAGGGGAAATTAAATTACATAAAAATCTGCAACTACAATAAAAAAACTAAAAATGTCAAAAGACGTGTCCATTGTTTGGTTACTTATGGTTAAAGTTACAGCTGGGTAGGGGTTATGGTTGTCATAGTTGGAATTAGGGTTTTGTCCATAGAAATGAATGGATGGTCCCCACAGAGATACGAGTACAGGTCTCTGTGTGTCTGTGTGTCTGCATTTACCGTATCATGGAGACCAAATGTCTCCACAATGTGGTAAAACCTGTTATTTTTTTAGTTTGTGGGGACATTTTTCAGGTCCCCAGAGAATAAACCTGAATATTAAAAAACAATCTGCCAATGCCATCAGAAAACTAAAAACGTTAAAAGCATTTTGTTTGGTTACTTATGGTTAAGGTTAGGTCTGTGTGTACAGACACTAAAGTGTGTTTACAGACATTTCGGAGCTATATTTTAATATGTATGTGACTGTTATCACTGCACTGGAAAAAAAAATATACACATACATCTGGAACAGAACTACCCATCATACCAACAAAGTTATATTTAAAATATGCTATGCGTTAATAGGTTCCAGATGTTGACACAGTCTATTGGATTACATAAGATTCTCGGGGGTATGAGTATAAAATTCTAGAAAAACAAATAATCAAGCAAAGTCAAATTTAACAACATTTCGAATTGAGGCAAAATGTGTTATGTAAATCCAACATATTTACAGGGGCATGCATTTGACTAGCAAAGTGATGAATATTAAACTGATATTTCCTTATGAATAAGTTTTAAATTAATTTGTATTATTTTTTGAAGCATGGGATTAATTCTATTGAATTCATTTCAAAGAGAGTTTCCTGAAAGGCCGGAAAATCAGTCAGGTCCTAATAAAGCCGAGAATTTAGCACCACGCTTTACTTGCAGAATTCCTGTCATTAACATCCAAATACGTAAACGGTCAGCTCTGTTTCCTTTTAACTGTAGGGTTACTCATTTGTCCTAAGCAGGCATATTAGAACACGCATGCCAAACAGCGGGAGCATCATGCCAAATCAGAGGTTCAGGCAGCTCTAGGTCCCAGAATAGCACTGGAAAAGGCTTCCACTATGGAGTTCCTACTGGTGTCTAAGCTGTGTGTTAGTGCTGGAATGTTAATTAAGGAAAAATAATCATCGGACTGATTCTCTGCAGTAATAGGAAATTTTAAAGGACTCTCGTTAGCTTTTAACAGTGCACTGGAAATAGCATTTTAAGAGATTTCAGACTCTGCAGAACATTAAATAATCTTTCAAATGCTGCTTTCAAGGAAAATATCTTGCCTGAAAAGAGGCCATTAAAGACCCAAAACAAAGTAGCCAACTAGTCTATAGGAAACACCCCCTGGCTTTTCCGAGTCCCCCCTGGCGCCCCACCCTGGGGTCTTCCCTGCCTTGTCCCCATAACCCCCGGGATTGGCTCAGATCTGGACCCCCCATGACCCTGAATAGGACAAGCAGTTTCAGGAAATGCATGAATGAATGGATGGATGGATGTGACATTACAGTTTAGATGATTTTAAGTAGATGTTCTAACTTTTTTTAAACCAGACCTCACAAAGATGTAGATATGACAAATGCAGAGTAAAAATTCCACTGTGAGACTCCATTATGAGCTACAAGTTTGTATTAGGAAGGTCATTGTGGTACGTTCTCCTTGGAAAAAAAAAAGATCAGCAAACCAGGGTCTTACTGAGCTACTATTTCACGGGAGCAAAGGGCATGTGTTTGGAATCAAATTTAAAAGAGAGAAAAAGTGTGTCTGAAAGGTATAGGCTGTGCAAAAATGACAATACACCGGTATTCAGGACTTCATCTGGAAAAGCTTAGCTGTGGCTTTTATACAGCCATTTCCTGGGACTTGACCTAGCGACCTTCTGTTGAGTGCCCCATGTGGTCACCCGCAGGCCTGTCAGCTGCCAGTGGGCACGATCCCGGGCCTTCGGCTGGCTATTTATGTCAGGTCACATGACTTTCCCTAAACAGAAATGCTTCACTGCTGGATAAGAGCAGAAGCAGAGTGCTGCAGTCCAGCATCCTTTCACCCTTATAAACTTACCAACTAGTGTTACAGCGTCCTTTCGGAATAGATACATTAGGTTAAGTGTGCTTTCCAAATGAGACTTTTAAGAATCCAAGTTGAGCCTATCTGTAAAAGCGCAGATGAACAGAATAAGCACGCCCTCTAATTAGATTCACTAAGCTTAACTACTTAGAGCAACTAAACTCACCTGAATTGTGTTGAGATGTAGATGATGTATAGGAATAGCATGCATGACACCGTCTGGCCACAAAAAGTGAGCTAATCTCATAATCCAACTGACTTTCATTAAGACATTAAGATAAATCTATTTTTAAATGAGGGGAAAAAAGAGACTCCTGGCTTCCATTGACATGGTTTCTGGAGATGGGAGTGGGGTGTAATTAAGTACAGTTGAAGAGGGTCCAAGCCTTTCATTTCAGGCACATGCAGGCCAGCCCAGAACAGCTGACGAGGCAGGACCCAGACAGAGCACGCCAAGGGCACGGCGTCACACGCAGCTGCTGTGGAAACTATTCGCACTCAGATCGGCCGCGACGTCCCGGCACAGACGTGGCAGGTACGGCTTACCATTCTCGCAATGCCGGCCCGTGTAGCCGGCCAGGCACGCACACCGGTACGAGCCCAACGAGTCCAGCACGCAGGTCCCGTCGTGGCGGCAGGGGGAGGAGCTGCACGCTGCGGATGACAGAACGGCAAAAGGAGAGAGAAAGCGGCCGTTAAGAAAAGGAAAGGTGGAGCAAGACGAAAAGTGTGACCCGAACGGACATGCCTCGGGAGTAGGGAGCTGGTCCATGGGGCCCTGGGGATGGAGTCTTGGGGCTTAACAGCTCAAAGTTATTTAAAGGGCTTTGTTCTTAGACTGCACGGTCAAGGGCCCAAGCAGATGTCTGGCAAGTGCCCGGGATGGCGGAAAAGGTAATCCGATGATTCCCGGGAGCTCGCCACTTGGTCATAATAAGCTTGCCAGGAAAATGCCCCCTCACCCCCACCGCTTACCCGAGCTCTCCTGGAATGTGGCGAAGAAGCCGTCGAAGTTCTTGTAGCCGTCCGAGACGAAGAGGATGTGCAACGAGTTTCCGGAGCTGAGGATGGGCGGCGGGCGCTCGTTCCCGCAGAACCGGCCGATGACGCGGGAGCTCAGGCCGTCGCCGTCTCGCACCTCGATGTAGTCGTAGCGGCAGCTGTAGTCGAATTCCAGACTGATCATCCGGAAGCTACAGAAAAGCAGCCGTGATTGGACACTGAAGCAATCATGACGTTATCTCTGCAGAAGCTAGAATGCTCCAAAACCAGTAGCCCCAGGACACTAATTTTCCAGCTGGGAAGTTTTCTGGGGTCGGGGGGTTGGGGCACGCTCCCTAAGGCTCTGCCACCTGGCTGTTGTTTGATGCCTCTAGACGACTGATAAATCCCCAAATCAGGATTACGCATTACCCCGACGTCATTCTTCACACAAGTCCCTTTGTTCCACGGAGGTGTGAATAGTGCAAGTAATTTCCTCCTGTTGGTGAAACTATGAAAATGAAAGTCATGATATATTAAATAAGCCACGTTTATTCTCCGCAAACCGACCTTTATATTATTTTTTAGCCTGTTAAAAGGATCAGTGCGAGAAGAGAGTTATTAAAACTGGCAAAAGCTCTCCGTTGACATCATACTGGTTTCCACTGCAGGCAATTAGAAGTAACAAGTCTGGGAGTCTTACAGTCCCAAGCTATTAGGATGACCGAATATTAAATATTTTCTGCAGTCGTAAGTGACACTTAAAAATAAGCAGATGTTGCTTTTTGAATTTAATAAGGAAACACCCTACATGCTTACAATAAAAACATTATCATCTATAGTGCTAGCTATAAAAAAAATGAACGCCTATATTTTGTTGCTTAAAATAGCTCCCTTTAGAATATGCATTACATCCAGATGGCAGTCATTAGACAGTTAATGCTGGTGTGGTGAGTTTGTTCACTTATTACTCTTTATCCATGCAATTTTCCAGAATAACTGCCTTTGCTACATATTCAGCATCTGAATTTGTGGATACCTTTTCCAACATAAATTGACTATTGACTTAAAACATTTGTCATTTTGCAAAGTTTCCAAAATGTAATCTACACGGTCAGATAATATTACTCTTAGATGATATTTACTGATCCAGTTATTTAACCAGTTTTCCTCCTATGATGGAGTATAGACTCCAGTTTCATTAGTTCATTACTTAGGAATAAATAAAAGCTGTTGTTTTCTTCTAAAAACACAATATTTTCACTTGAGGTTACAGTCAAGTAACAGTCAATGAACAATGCACCTGTTTTGAAATTTCTACTTGCACTAATGTAACAAATGTTTACTATTTTCTATTTTAAAACCATGTGTTGTGTGCAAGTTTTAGTAAATTTCCCATTCTAACAACTATTATTACTATATTATACACATATTAGATTACACTCCACAAAATGATATTTTAAACAATGCCTGAGTTTAATATATTTTAAGACAGAATAATCCAATTTTCTCATTAAATATATAAACATTCAAATAGTGAAAACTTTCGCTAACAGGACAGAATTATAAGTGTTCTCAGCTGTTGTGCGTCACTGAGAAACGGGTCCAAACACAAGCAAACACTTAAATAAAAATCGGAAGCTTTTAGCCAGCTTAATCTGAGACCGATAACTTTGGTTCAGCATGCAGTAACATATGCAGCAGATCCCAGAAGAATTTCAGTAGCAATAACAGTAAATATTTCTCTGAAATAAAACTGTCTTCCAGCCCCAAAGAGAACTTGCATGGAAGGTGGAGTTTTCCATATAGGTACAAAAAAGTTTCAGAAATAATGCACATCTCTGTACCTAAGTCATGCCTTGTGGTATTTACTACTTTGGGTTCACTCTACATCCCCCCGCGACCCTAACTATAATAAATGACTGGAATATGGATGGATAGATGGATTCGTACAACATGCTGCCAAAACCCTTGATTTGAAAAGAAAGTCCAAAATATCTAGTCAAAACAGCGAACCGTGTCCCACCTAAGCGCTTAATTTTACTTACTCAAGCACTCAAATATTTTCATATAATAAAGGATATGTCTATTGCGTCAAGCACACGAAAGCGCGTTCGGAGCCAAACAGGAGATGCACGCGTACCTACCCGCGGACCGGACGGCACGCGAACGCGCTTACGACGCCGAACAGCAGAGGCGCGTGGACTCAACAGCTGGACGGAGGACACCTGAACGCGCATAAGCGGCCGAATAGCAGAGTCGCGAGAATATAAATATGACAGGGCGTACGGCATCACTTCGGGCTGCGGGGGCTACGTACGCCGGAAATTCAAGCCGACAGAAGAATCCTTAATAAGCGATGACGTTATTCGTAAATCATTCTAAATCTGGAAAAAAATCTGTTAGCCCCAATTTTTACTTAAAGATATAACATACACATAGACATTTAAGAAAAACCAGAGATTGGATGCTGGCTATCTTTCGGTACGTAGCTGGTAGACATTTTCCAACCTCCACGACGGTGGAAAAGCAGCCGGCGTTGTCGGTAAATGTCGGTGTAAAACTTTGTGGAGCTTCAGTCACGGTGGCGGAGAGCTAAGAGGAACGACGCGCGGGAGCAGATTACCGGGTGGGCTTCCGCCTGCACGTGCCAGGAGCTATAAATAAGCGACGGCAGTCCATTATTCAGGAGTGCTGACATAAGTCAAAAACGGAGAGTAATTTCATTTATGACCTTCATGCGCGTTGTAAAATCTCCACAAAAGAGTCATTTTTTAGAAGACAGGTGTCTAAAGGGAAAACGCTGATTAGCTATGTTAGTGCTAAGCGAACGCCCAACTCCGCTGGCTGACATGGTTTGTGTAAAAGTTAAGTTCTAAAAGCCCGGTGGCAGCTGGTGACCTGACATCACATTTGGATGGTATCAGGGGGCCAAGTTTTACTTTCAAAGCAGACCGCTTCAGCGGGAGCAAATGACTGTGATACCTAAAGCAAGGAATGTTTTGTGCTGGACGGTAATGTTAACAGCAGATATAAGGCCTTTCCGATCTTTTTTAGTTGCAATAGCAATGATATGTTTTAAAAAATATTTTAATATAATGATAAACTATGTATTCCTGTGTATATATGTTTTGCCTGATGGTGAGGGGTTTTGTTAGTGTGTCACTGAGGAGCAGTGGAGGAGGGTGTCTGTTAGTGACTACCTGAGCTCGATGGTGAAGTCCTTTTCCACCTGCAGCGTCCACTCGCAGCGTGCGTTTGTCGGGTAGCTCTCCAAAACCACATGACCCTGGGCCTTCCTGATCACTCCTCCGCATCCTAAAGCAGGGAGAGATGAAGTATGAAAAAGGGACACATTCAAACACACACGGGTTCAGCTGTTCTCTGTCAGGAGAGAAATTTAAACAGGAAGGGCTGCACTGATGTGAAGTAAAGGGCTTTCCAGCACTGAGCTAACTGATCATATCACCCAGATGTACCCGTGGTCTTCTGGAAGCTGTTCTTCCTGAGCTCCATAGTGACTTCCGTGTTCATTTTTAATATCTGAGACACACGAAAGGAAAGGAGGACACGAGATGCTCACTCATGCAGTCGCCTCCGGACCAGCCGGGCCGACACTCAGCACAGTACTTCCCCCTGACAAAGAAGTCGTCCTTGGCCACCCATGTGCCATTGTTACAGCGTTTACAGTTCTCGAAGATGCTGCAACCTGCAGGGGGCGGTAGAGAGGATGAGAGGAGTGGGGAGGAGTCCACAGATGGCAAATGAAAAGCAAGAGAGATGGTGATACAGAGGGTGAGAGGATGAAGAAAGGAGGTTATCGCAGAGATGAAATTCTTTCCTGCAACCTGAACGAAATGTTTGATTTATTACGTCTACTTTTTGCCTTTTCCTTTATTTGAAAGGTTTTTAGCCGTCCTCTCTTCCCCCTCCCCAATATGCACATGCAAACACAGACTGTGTCTGCACCCATAAGCTCTGTCATCTGACCTGGGAATGTCATCAGTTTTACTTTCGAGAAAGGATGGGGAGGAATTCACACTGATTCCAACCTGAAATGGAAATTCTCCCGAAACCCAGAGGGCCCGATGCTAAAGGGAGCCTGGATTTTCACTCAGACTCACGGGACTGAGGCTGCCAGCCCAAGGTCTCGCGTCCTCCACGTGTCGGCATGAGTACCACGACCGTTGGGGGCAGGTCTCCATCGAGACAGCAAGTCACTGATTTACGACTGAACCTATCAGGTTTATAAAACAAATTCCCAACTTCACACTTGGTTGTGAACATGTGCTGCTTCCCGAAATGCGGAATCACATGTTTATTATTATTACTTTTTCATGTAGGTTGTAAAACCAAGTGAAACCAGGAGGTAGAACATGATATACATCACCTGTTATGTCATATATATGTAACATACTCCTCACTTCAAATTGGTCTGTGTGGAGTTTGCATGTTCTCCCTGTGTCTTCTCAGGTTCCCTACTAAAATCTTGTGGTTAGGTGATAATCTTAAAATTGCTCATAGTGTGTAAGTGTGTGCCCTGTAAAGGACTGACGTCCAAAGTGTCCCCTGCCCTGTTCCTTATGTAACCATCTTGTACTTCACAAGCAGTCATTGAACATGGACGGATGCATCTACTCTTACAAGGCAGGATGACAGGAGAGGGCACCCTTACCTGGATGGATGATGCAGGGGTCGCACTCATTGACAGCATTCCGGCAGCAGGGCACTGCATAGCCCACCGGCGACCCCTGGGTGGGGCACTTGCAGCGGATGAGGTCGTACTCGCAGCAGCCTTGGCACATGATGCTCCATTCAGAGCCGGGGCAGGAATCGTACCAAAATCTGTAGTCTGACAGACAGAGGTGCCATTCAGCAGAAGTAGGCTCCCCAACACAGCGACTGACAGCGTTGCCCGTTAGAAGGCTCCAGCCTGCAGGTGTTAACTGCAAAATATCTCAGGGTCTGGAGAACGTGGAGGAGGAAAGCCAGCAGGGTTGGTGTAACCTTGGGATCCCCAGTATTTGTCCTTGTGGATTTCAGCTGAACTCCCTCTTAATCACTGTGTTTGTTTCTTTGCAGTAATTTATCTGCAAGTCAGGCCACCCATTTCAAAGAAATTCAGCTTTAATTGTTGTTTTCCTATTGAGTAATGTTTGCAAGCTGATGGCACACATCACATCAAGCTCTGGAAGGTCGTTGACCTGTTCCTGTTCCTGCCGCTGAGCAGTATGGGGGGGTGGGGGGGGGGGGTGACCCCCCCTTAACGTCTGTGTTTATCCCAGCCTCCTCATGTCTGAGGAACTCACTGGAAAAACAGCCAGAGGGTGGGGGTAGGCGAGGTGGTCAGCGAGTTCTAGGAGAGAGTCTTTGTCTCAGTGCCGGCGATTATGTAACTCAGAAGACGAAGACAGGACTACAGCGTAGAAATGGAAAAAAAGCAAAACAAAAGCAGTTTCAATCCACTCTGGGTGCCTCCTCTGCTTGGAGAGTTCTGAACATTCCTGTCCACCACAGGCTTGGTCAGAACTCTGTAGGCTTGGGTCAGTCTCTCCAGCAAAAGTCTCTGGGAACCACTGATTTCTCTTCAACGCATGGCTTTAGGGGTGAGAGGAGGTCAGCCCACTTCCGTCTTCTGCCAAAGGCCTGCACAGTTTGTGGGCCAAATACTTCTTCATTCTTGAGGTTGTTGGTATTTTTCCTTGGTAATCCCATCAGCTGAGTGTTGTGCCTGATGGTAACCCCCCACCCCGTCTGCTCGCACGCCAGCTTCCATGGTGAATCACAGCGGTTGACGTGATTAATAGATGTGTTTCTCTGTGTGGACAACCAGCTGGAGAATGTCATGACATATGTGCAGCGAGTATCTGTGATTTTCAGGCCATTTTAAGCACTAACAATGCAATAAAATACACTCTTCTCCTTCATCCAGATATTTGCGATTCCCTCAAGAATTTTTTTTTTTTCAAAAAGGAAAACAATATTTGTTTACTGTGAGGAAAATGCTCCTGATTTAATTGTTAAAGGGCAACAAAAATACATCTTTTTCACATTTTCTTATTGTGAAACATAAAGTTAACAAAAACAGCTATGGCAAGCTGTGAATTATATCATCAGTTCTGTTTCTTCTGAGATGAGAGTATAAGTAACTGTATTGCAAATATGTGTGTTTTTTGTCCTGATGATACTTGTACAAACGCCAGATAAAAGTATCTCAGAATTCCCTGTTTTTTGAGTTACGGTTTTCCTTTGAGACACACTATAGGTGGGGACAGTTTGAGGTCGGCTCACACTATCAGCCATTTTATCCTAGCCCCCTGGAGTGATTAGTCTACTGAGATTCAAACTTACAACCTTCCAAACCCAGACACAGGCCCCTAACCTGCAGCCCCCTGCAATTCCTTCATGCTCCACTAGGTGGACGCCCCCCCGCCCACACAGGTAGAATACCTCTCTCCCAGAGCCATGCACCTCCCCACTGAAGGGCAGAAAAAGCGGCACTGCTCCTCACATATAATGACCATTTTCTCTATGCGGCAATTTATTTGCGTGGAACTTTGTAACACCTCTGCCAAGTATTCAGAAGTTTAGCTGTCGCCATGGTGGGTTAATGGGCTGCAGTCTCTTTGCTGCCGATAAAAAACGTTTGGGTCTTGTTCTGGATTTTCTGACAGACACTCCTTAAAATCATTTCATGGGGTTCTCTTCCAGACAGACATCAGGAGCCACAAACCTCTCCAGTGCAAATTAAGTGACAATAAAGTATTGTTTGCTTATTTGGGGTAAAAAAACACATTTTCTATCCTATAGGCACTATGCAAGAACTGGAGTCAATTATATTCATTTACTCGGGGTAAATTGCCAGTGTTTACAATTTCCATAATGGTTTTCTGTGGAAATGAATGCAACAAGCTTCTTTGCAGTTTTGCAATCTACCCCCAAGGCCTGCGTGAATCTAATATGTAAAGTATGGTTGGAAGGACAGCTTCAATCCCCAGTGCAGTTTGCTTGCTGCCACACTGGGCATTAAAGGTATTCACCGGATGATGCATGTGGCAGCTCCAGCTATCCGAGAATCAGCCAGATTCTAAAGGAAAGATTACAGTGTATACCCTTCCCAGCTGATGTAATGGTGCTCTTTCGTTGCTGTGTTTATCGTCCCCGATAATCCACTTAAACTGTCCAGTGCTTTTAAGCTCATTCCCAGGATTTGATGCCGTTAATGCGCTGACTGATGTAACATGGCAGGCAGACTAGCGACTTACACAATGGACAATGTGGCCAAACGCTCGCTGGCTCAGCCGTCTTGTTGGAGGATATTCTGTCACACCACTGAGCATCAGAATTGCTTCATTATAGATATGGGGCCAAATATGAATACATTCGTTTGCATTCATTGGGGAGGTGGGAAGAGAGGAATTTGGACTCATTCTGGCTGTGTGATAATCTGCGACAGGTTCTTGCCCACGGCCCTGATGCATGCAAAAGCAGTGTGAAAGGTTAACCGGGGACTAGGGGTGTTTTAATGGATAGTTTTACCTGGACTGAAATCCAGGGTAAAATGGGGCCCCCAAATTTTAAACCCCTCGCTCCACACCCTTCCAACCCGCCCAATCGATAGCTTGTACCATCACCACTGGCCACGTCCGCAGGCAACAATTAGGCTAATATAGAAAAAGGTGTCGGGGGGGAGATGCCCTGATGTTACTAACACCCATGACGTCCTTTGATTTTCGGGTCTCCTGATTCTCCCGTTCCAAGTCCCTGTAGCAGAAGCAGTTGCAACGTGAAGCTGGAATCCAGGCAAGTTGCTTCAGATCAAGAGATGAGCTTGTGTTGTGTTTTACTTAAAGGCCTCCAAGGGCTATGTGGCACATGACATTGTTTTGGGATTAAGAGGGGGGGTGTTTTTTTTTTTTAAGAAACGGCCTGATGTGTGTGGGTCCAAGTTTCTTCTTTCTCATTATAACTTGTAAATCAAAGACTCGGAGCCACATTATTGCTCCCTGAGTATGACTGGATGCCTCTCTGGAAGTTTCCCCCACCCCTCCCAGTTTGGACCCTTTGTATTTACACCGTGCGTAAATAGGGAGTCGGCAGACCCACGTAGAATAAAAGCAGGCATCGTTGGCACATGTGTGCCTGTAATTTGAAGGCGCAGAGCCCAAAAAATGGTCTGGACTTTGTTTACTCCTCCTGAGGTAGCAGCTCAGCAAGCGTTTAGTCCTCTGATGTTATGCAGTCATTATAGCTCTTATCTCTTTGGTTTATCATTAGCCCAAATAAAAAAAAAATAAAACACACACAGTGGAACAGCACTTAAAGGTCAATTTTCTCTGGAATAGGTTTTACCGTGCTCATCTGGGCTCCTTTTACCAGTAAGAACTGCAAACCTGCACACCGACATTCCTGGCACGCGACGTGCATATACCAAGGTAACTGTGAGAGCAGTAGTAACAAACATAGTTCTCTTCCAGCCCATGCACTTCTCCCAACACGGGTCTTCTGTAGGTTTTGGGGCTTGCCGGCCTTATGTAATTAGTATCTGTTTTTTCCATTCCAGATGTTGAATTTTTGATGGAGGTAACGGAACAGAAAGCACAACAGTCCATGATGGAAACAGTCCAGTCACAGGGTGGAAACTGATGCCCCCTGGCAGAGCGAACCAGCGAATTCTGTCCAGCATACAGAGAGTGTTACCAGGACCGTTCCCCCATAGAAGTACATCTCTCTCTGGGACACCCTGCAGAGATCTCAGTCCTCTCCAGCCATCTGACTATCCATACACGTACATTCAGGCTGCCATGCTACAGATTTAGCGCTTATTTTCCTTGGTCATTTTTGCAGCAACCCCCTCATTCTGCCAAAATAAAGCAAAGAGCCACAATCAGATTAGTCACACCTTCTCGCCAGATATCCAAACCCAGATTCAGAGCATCTGCGCTTGTACCCTGAGGCTTGGTGCGGGCAGCTTGTTCTCCCTGCTCCTGCAGGGTTTGTTCAGGGCTCTGCATTGAGGCTTCCATACAGCTGCACTCCACATCATTTTCCTGGTCTGATTTAGGAGCCGGCACATCTGATTCAGATCACGTTACATGACATGACTTTGTATCATTTACATGCCGGGCAGCTAATTTTTTTTTTCACAAAGCGATTCATGTGCCTTTTACAGTTTGTACCGCTAGATAGCTCTCAAAAGTAACAATAGTGGTTTTCAGACTGGCAACCTTCTGGCCGCCAAGTTTAGGACCCCTCCTAATCACCACACTATAGATATGTACCATTTCAAGCTGCATTTGAAGACCAAATGCATCACAGCAGCACCACAAGTCTGTCCCATTTCGAAGTCCCCTTCAGATGCGACCTTGAAACGAGTCCTTCTATTCGTGAACGCGAAGGATCCACCCAATGGATCCTTTTGTGGTCCAACTTATCCCAAGATTCATTGCAAAATTTTTTAGAAGAACGCAACTGACAAAGGCTACGCCCACCGCGTCCTTTGAAAGATGCAGCCCCTGAATTGGAACACAGCTAACCTCTTACTTGTAATAACTATTAGTGACTGACTCTGTTCAAGTTGCCCAAGACAAGTGACAGCCTCAAGTCAACGCTGTGTTTTCATACTACTTTCTGGCCTCTTTACGCCTGACGGTCTTATCAGCGGTGGAAAGGACAGCTCCCGCAGGCATCCTGTAAATCCTGTGAGGATGTACATCCAAAAAAAGGGGGCTCACCCCTAAATAACTCCCAAAAAAAACTAACACTGAAGCAGCTGCCAAGCACCATATGCTCGCAATAAAAAAAAAAATCCATGTAGCCTGTAGTTCTGTCATCAGCTCAATTCCTTTGTGCATCTATACCTTCTAAAAACAAAAACTACGTCAAACAGCAGCGTGAAATATGTTATAGAGCTAAATCCCAACCTGAACTTGTATGCAAACGCAATAACTGCACAGCAGTTTTCTGAGTGCTGATTGCGTTGTCTCCTTTGTATGTGGCCTCTGTTTTTCTCACTTCTAAAGACTTACCGCAGGTAAGGGTGTGGGGGGGGGGGGGGGCTGGGGGCTGTAATCCAAACACACTAAGAACAGTTAACCTCTTCTCTGGCAAAAACAGAAGATGTGCGGACAGCTTGTGTGATGGGAAAACCAAGAGTTTGGGGGGGGGGGGTTGGGCATGAGACAGTTAGAGATGTGGGGAGGATTTTTTTGATGTGGCAGGAGGTATTGGGGAAAATGCTGATTAATCATTTTTGCACGCCCTGCTTTCAGATCTCCAGAGGCAAGCTTTCCGTTAGATGTATTGTTGACACCTCTTTGCCTGGAAACAGCCAGATTACATCATCTCTGTGCTGTTGCCCAACTGACTTCATTATGACCTGTTGTGGAAGACAGCGACGTTTTTCAAAAACGGGAAAGTCTTAGTCATGCCAACCTCTTGCCTCCTAGGTTTCTTCTTGGTGACGGTGATCCTACCATACAGCAAACCCTGCAGACCTTTTGGGAGATGTATTACAACCATCACGGAGAACATGTGCTTCAGGAGAATCCATCACTGTCTACAAGTACTTCCCTGATCTTCTCAACCATTCACGTTTGGGTCGATTTCCTTGGTTGCAACACCTGCGTTGGTCAAATGAAATCTAATCTCCCAACAAAAGACGGCCGATCTCTGTCAGTACGAACACCATATAGAAAGCCTTGCAGTCGGATATGTCGGTACATGATGCGGGCTGTAGCCGGCCATTTCATTTCTTATGTTATGTTATGCTGAGAAATGTCTGACCAGATAGTGGTCCTTTAAATCTGTCACGAGGAAAGCATATTGTTACAGCAGCGCAGTTGTTGAATGAACGCAGTGCGTAAATGGCAAAGCTATTGAGTGCATGTCAAGGACCCTCGGGATTAAATATACAGCATATATTGTATCCTGGCCTTGAAAAGAATTAAGTGGTTACCTTTTGACTCGGCAGGTTTCAGAGAAAGCCTCTAGGGCAGATTATAGCTAAAAAAGTAGACTGAAACACTTCAGACTTCCCAAACTTTCCAGACAGGAGACACCTTGATGTTTCATCTTTCAAAGACAGCAGCACCTAAGGAGCTCTGATGGAGCTTCCTTTCCATCAGTGGAGCAGGAAACTAAGCGGCACAGTGAAGAGGGGAGACACGCCAGGGGGAATCTTTCCCTGCTCTTTAAGGGCAGAGGAATGCTGATGCTGCCCTTCTCAAACAAAGAGCTGGGAGAGACCCACGGAGAAGGAGAGACGGAAAGCCGAGGCGGCTGCTTGGGCTCTTACCGCGCGGCCACGCTGCTCCCCGGGCGACGAAGACCAGGAGGAGGAGGAGGAGATGCCAGAGGGCGCCGCTGCCGGCGCAAGGGGACGCACGTGTCCCCCTGCGGAGAGCGACCAGCTGGCGTCCCGCGGAAAGCATGCTTCAGTCTCGAGCTCTGTTTACTTTCTGAGCTCAGCTGGTTTGACATAACTCTCTCAGCCTCTCCCTCCCTCTCTCTCTCTCACTCCCTCCCTCTCTCTCTCTTTCTCGTTCTCTCTCTCTATCGCTTTCCTGGCCTCAAGTTACAGCCCAGCCTCGCCGGGCGATCTGCACAGGACGGCCTTCCAGAAACACCCCAGCAGCCTTCCGGGGGTGACGTCACTGCTCTTGAATGAAGCCGCACTTAGACAGCAGGCACGCCTCTTAACCTGCCCCCCCTGCATGCCCCACCTCCTTGTCATGGACGCCGGCACCCCACCTTCCCACCCCACCCCACCTCAGCCCCCGCCCACGTTCCTGGTGTTGTCGTTAGATCGCGGCATGCTGAGCGGACGCTTTTCCACACAGCTGTTTTGTCGCTTCTGTTTTTTAGCTCTGAATGCCCCCTTTTTTCCACACAGCCTGTTAGCGCCCCAAACGTCCTTCTCAGCGCTTATTTAAAACCCGTCAGCCTCAGCTGAGTGTTTTTTGGTGAAACGGCACCAGCGACAGGCGCGAAAGTGGATTGACAGTCAGATGTGAGCTTTCCATCTCCTGCCGCCTCGTTTCCCGCCACATTCCACAGTTCCCGTATCACTCATATCACTGCATCACAGCTGTTTTTTTAAATAAATATTATTATTCAAACATGGGGTGACACATAGGAACCTGTTACGGCCTGTAATTGGCAAATTGTGCAAATGGTACCACCAGGAAGAAGATGAAATGGATCGAATATCTCCTTCCAAGAACAACGAGGTTTCGGGTTTCTGGGCCACGAAACAAACATGGGGGTGTTTCTTTTCCAAAGAACACAGGGAACCCACCCAGCATCACCCTTTGGCACGCTGGCTCTGTTTGCTCAGATGCCTCTCCATTTACGATGAGAAACACTGGCTCGCCTGTGCTGCCTGCTTCTCGGTGTGTCTCTGGATGTGCAGCCGCATCTGGACATAATGAGACACAGAATCATGCTGAACAGCCAAACAGCCCAGAGGATTACACACACAACCCCCCCGATGCATGTACGAGCCTCCCGACTTGTTATTTTCAGGAGGTACTGTGCTGAAATTATGTGGCAGTGCTTAGCGGTTACAGAAGCCCCAGAGTAACATTGCTGTACAACAGTACACACTTGTATTTAAACAACCACACACTCTGCTTCCCCAGTGGGGCCAGTCCATACTCTACAGTAGGGGTTCTGTGACCAGTACTGTAAGGTTGCCAACTCTTATGCATCTGGCATGACACTCACGCTTTCAGACTCTCACACCAACGCAAGAAATCTTATGGCAAATCTGTGTTTTTCCATTATAAACCTAAAATTAGCTACATCAAAAGCACTGGGGTGGTTTGCAAACCCTACAGACTGTTTACAAGGTGATAAAACTGTTACCTACATGTGAATGTGCGAGCAAGTGTTTGCAGACCTGACCAAAGTTGGCAGCCCTGGTACCAGAGTGCATTTCCCAAAAGCATAACTGCATTAGCAACTCACATAGCTGGAAACATGCAACTTAATGGATCTGACTATGTTAGCTGCTAACAGGAGAACTTGGGAAATGCATCCCTGTTCTGTAGTCAGTATCCCAGCAGGCTGCGGAATTCACATTCTGTTTGCATCTGAAAAAAATGGAAATGGCTAAAGTTACGAAATTGTTAAGCGATTTGCCAGGAAACCCCCCCCCCCACACACACACACCTCCACCCTGGGCATTGTACTGGTCTGTGAAATTTTTGTTACAACTTAGACTGATCTACAGACATGAAAAAGTTGAAACTCCCACTCCATAGTCCCGGAACGTCACCACCGGCTTGAACTTTCTACCTTCTTGTGACGAGCCCAGCCCACTAAGCACTGAGCTGCTCCTGACAGACAGATAACCTGCCTGTGGCTGCCGAGACCGGCACCAGACTCCTCTCGGGGACCAGAAAACATACCGGTTTGGCATGCAGTGCTTTGAAGGAAGGAACAGCAGTGTTCACGATTTCTAACAGTCCTTAAGAAGCTTGGAGCTTAGCAGCCAAATTAGCAGGCCAGCAACTCGGAGTCTGAGTATTTGGACTTGTGTGGATGTGTGGATTATGGTAACACTGCTGTACTTTACAATAAAACCACATTATGATGTTAACAAAGGAAAACACACACTGGAATCCCAGCTGCCCCACTCCACCTTCTGACCAAAGGTGAGCGTGGATGTTCACACTGAGAAATACAATGTAATCTTTCAATTGTAAGTGAGTCGTTCTGAGTGTATTTTTGACCAATAAGCTGCATACAGCAGCAACAGTGTAGCCCAAGCAATGTTTAGGAGAAAATATACATTTCTGATACAGTCATGGTCTTGTTACTGGTTTTACTGGGGCCTGTATCACAAAGCAGAATTTGTTGCTTAGCTGGATAACATGTCAGATTTGAGGTAGTCTGGGCTAAATGTAAATGATCAAAGATAAAGTCCATTTCAACTGGGGTACCATAAATCCAAAAAGTTATCCAGCTAAGCAAGAAAGTTAGCTTTGTGAAACAGGCTTAGCTGTCAATCCATTCATCACCATGGTCGAGGTCACATGACTTCCTACCTGGTGGAAAGCAGGAAGTGACTCAAAGGATTAGGATGGGGTGCCTGTAATTTCCTGGCCACAGGGAGGCGCCACCTGCATCATGGACAGGAAAGCTCGCATTTGTTTTAAGGCAGGGTTGGAGCAGCTCTTTTCCAGCTCTGTGTATATAAGGTTTTTTCTACCCCCTCTGCCACTGTATGTTGACTCGACTATCCTGGTGGAAAGAAATGTGCTTAAATCTGTTTCTCTTTCACTTATGACCAATGGAAACACTGGTCAGAGCACCCCTCCCCCCACCCTCCCCCAGTGGAGGTGACCCAGTCACAGGGGGAATAGTCAGTGTTTATTGTCATTTGGGTTGCCATAGTTGTTTTTGCTTTTGACTGGGCAAATCCAAATTCCAGCTGAGTGGGGGGGGGGGGGTCTCCATGAACTTGACAGCTAGCCTGACACATGCAGCACATTGCTGCTGCACTAAGGGGTCTGGATCTAATGTACTTTTTATGTGTAACTGCACAAGTATTTGCGACATTACAAGTCCGGCCCTAAATGAAGCTTTGTCCCTCCACCCGAGCAATGAAGACAAAATCCAGGCCTCAGCCTGCATCTCAGTCCTCAGGAAGACAACAACACTCCTACTCTACATACGTGATGCATAGCTGGACTCCAAATAATTAATTAATCATTTAAGCTAAAGCTGTCACCCACACATTACTTTAGATAACTGTTTATTCTTCCAAAGCTTGGGGTATAATTACTGCCCCCCCCCCCCCCAGGAGTGACTTGGTTGCGATTTGTTTTTCTTTATGACTGCTGTCAAATGAGTTTTCCAGCAGGAGAAAGAACCCCAGTGAGGATGTTGGTAAACATCACACCCTTCTGCTGAGCTCTCCATAGCAACACTGAAGGAACAAGGTATTTAGATCCACCAATGGTCCAAACGCCTTTGTATGGACGTCCTGTACATTCCTCAGGAATGATGACATTCTGGATGCTCTTCCAGAAGTGGGATATTGTTAGAATTATGTGTGTGTGTGTGGGGGGGGGGGGGTGATTTCATGGAAGTCACAGTCATGGTCCAGAGGACAAAGGAGGAGATGGTCTAGTCATTCTCTCCATCCACAGCATGTTCATGGCCGCACAGCCAGCACGCCGATCGCTGCTGCTCTGGGCACGGCAGGGTACTTCAGCGCTATTTTCCACTCGGTTTTATTTTGATCTCAGTCAAAACCCGGGAGCCAGTGCATGTTTCCGGAAGGTTCCGATGGAGAGCCGCCAGCCAGGGATGATGCTGGCAGACGTTTATTTTGCTTCACCATGGCTACCGACTTCCTGTTGTATGTGTTTTTTCTTTCTTTCTATTCCTCCTTTCTTCATTTCCAGCCTCCGTTTCCAGTAGAAAGGGAGCCCGTTCCATTATTTGGGGAAGTCTCAAAGAGGAATAATGTGTGTGGGTTTGTGTGCATTTACTGAATTGGGGGGGTGGGAGTCAATCCTGCCAACACTTCCTCCTCCAGAAAAGCAGACTGTCTGTAAGTTGCTGCTAGCCTATTAATAGAACCCGCAGGCTTTTACTGCTGAAGTGATTGGACTGTCATCATTTTCTCCTATTAAGTTTCCATCTCGGGCTGGGCCATACATTCTGTGTGTACAGTAGATCTATGTTTGTTGAAGAAATCTCCTAGGTAATTCCTGTATTGTGGCTGAATGACTCCACCTGGTCTCATTGAAATTACCGGCATTCGCGCTGGAGGTGATCCAGGCAATTGTTACCAGGCAGGAGAAGAACAACGGACACAGAGGGACCGTTGTTCACCTTCTGCCCTATCGGAGTGACCGGCACTGCGGCTGAAGTTCGGGAGATGCTTAGCCATCACCCAGAAACAGGACAGGCATTTATAGTCCATGTGATGGCAGGGACTGCCCTTCCTGATCGGGCTGGTGGAAGGAAGGGTGGAAGCCCTCCAGGAGCTGGAGTGCGAGGAGCAGAAAATCTCCAGCCCCGGTTCTCGCTCAGACGGAGCTCCTCTCGCCAAATGTGACAGCGGTAACGCACGCTCATGCGTGATAATTACACACCTCCCCCGCTTTTAAGCTCTCGGGAGGGGGGGACGTACCAGCCTCAGCAGTGCAAAATCCTCAGTGTGGGACAGAGCAGAAAGGAAAACCTTGGTGAAGCGTCATGTAGCCTGACAGATATGCAAATCTCCCCCACGGGGGGAGGCCACGCGTTCTTAAAGACACACACAGACCACTGGCCCTTAACAGGATTACAACCCTAACCCTAACCCTAACCCTAACTCCTCAGTCCTACACACTATCCATGTGTGGATTTCTGAAGCATAAATCAGGGGGGCATGGACATTATGTGGGCATTGGTGGCATGGGTGTTTTGTGGCATAAAAATAGAGTTTGAGTCTGTATTCAGGGGATAACTATGGTCAGCTTGGTAAAAGTCATTGAGAATGAACTGTGGTGGCCCTTTTCCATGAACTCATACTATGGTTACTAGAGGTTTTTGGAAAAGTTTTAAATACAGCACATTGCCAATGATAATTCTTTTATTTTTTTCCATTACATTTCAGTGTGAAGG